TTTGTTAATGCTGACCTTCCTTTTGCAGAGTCACAAAAAATTGTATCAAACGAAAGTCACAAGATCATCGGCCTTCAGTCTGGGAGCAACAAGGGAGCATCGCAGGCAGGCATGACCCCCTACGGAGCGGCTCGCCAGATTATCCCCGATGGTATGGGACACTAGCCGTCTTTGGGCAGTGGGCGGCTTTGCATGAGAGACACTACACTGGAATAACTGGTTGCATTTTGCCTGGCATTTGTTGATCCTCAGCTAATGATGAATTTAAAAACCTTTCCTGGTCTTATTTTGCTTACCAGTTTAGTAAGACAGGAAAGGAATTCATTGAATGGATTGTGTGTTGAAGGATATTTTTCAATTAGAGATAAAAAAAAATTGAGATTTAAGTGTCAATTAGTATGATATGAATAAAAAAAATGCAAATTGAAGTTATTTGAGTGGTATGAATGACTTTTGAATTATTGATAAGGAATGTTAAAAGATTCATATTCTGATTTTTGGAGTCCAGTGAAAAGAGATGAAGTTTTAACAAGTAAACTAGGCATTATCAGTTATACAATGTAGCTTTTGTCATTCAGATGTTTAGATTGTTTCTTTCGTTTTATAAGTCAAAGAGTACATGATGTGTATTGTTTGGAACCTCCCAAATGTAGTGCATATCAGTTAATGTTGTTTTTTTCCAGTTGTGAAGTTGCAGCGAAGAAGTGCAATTTGCAAAATAACTTTCCCCTTGCATGTTTCATTTGATCCTCCTTGAATCACGTTGCCTTTACCTGTATATTGCTTCCCTTAATTTCCCTGTTTTTCTCATAGATTTCACATTACTCTGTAATAACTGTTAGTGATTGGTGTAATATCAGTATTTTATTAATATGTTATACATTAAAGTGTAATATCTTGACAGATTCATCAGAATTGAAACACTGTAGATGTATTTCATACTTTGTTAATTGAAAGGTTTTCTGACTTTGGTGGAGGTCTATAAGAAGATCTTAACTAGAAAAAAATAGTATGACAAAAATATTTTGTTGTAATTTGTTAATTTTAATTGCAAAGGAATATAATCAGTAAAGGAGCTGCCCCGAGGTGTGAAACTGATCACATCGTAATACCTTTACAGGTCTAAGGAAGCACCAATGAAGTCCTTAAGGAGGAACCATTGAGTCACCTCAGACTTTTATTTTTGGGAGAGAATAATGAGGCATCAGTTTTTGTGCATAGGCGATACGATGAGCCATTAGATGTGCAGTGTGCAGGTTGAGGTCTGTGGGGGGGGTTGCTTAGGTCTCCTCCCGAGGGACCGCCTGTTCTTGAGTCATCTTCAGGGGTCGTCTGGATGTTCATGTCAACTTGAGTAGATCGTCTGAGCTTTCGACCAAGCAACGGGTCATTGGTGCTGTTGTTCCTGACTTCTTTTTGTTCTATATTGACTTTTGTGAGGTTGAAACTTGAGAGAACCTTTAGATTGTCACTGTTAGTGGGAAACCCTATTCAGATTTGTGCTTCAACTGATTATAAAATAATTTATGTACTCTTCTGTGGTTGAACCCAAGCAAAATAGCAAATCAGTTCTATTTCATGCAGAAGAAAGTGAAAGCTAGATTAACACTCAGGTTTTACTTATATGGATAGCATATTGAAAAATTAACAACACTGTTCAAATCATGTTCCATAATTGCAAAATAATGATGTCATATTTGACAACCTTAGGCTGCTTTGTACAAGGGTTCCTTTCCTGCAAAATGTTTGTCTCATGTCATCTTCATGCAGTCATCTTGTCCACATCTGGTTTCTTCAGTAATATAACTTATTTGAAACAATTAACATTTCTCATGGAAATATTGGTAAGGGCTTTGTATTACCATTTTATTTCTGATAATGTATATTATGTATAGCAACTTACTGACTTGCTGGAAAATGCTGTTTGACTTCTCGGTGACATAAGATGGTGTTACTGCTCCGACTGTAAATATTCATGGGGATCATAGCATTGTTGGATGGCTAGTTTACACCAGGATTCAAGTCATGAATTGTGTTTTACATTTTTTTCATGCATTTAGATACCGAACTTGAAAACATCACAATTCACACAGCAAATATCTATAAGTCTAGCCATCAGCAAAGAAGGGATTATTTTACATGTAAAGTTAGTTAGAGAGTTTGTGCAACAACTGTTATGCAGGTTCATTCTCTTGCAAAAATATTTTTCATTGATTTATATCCTCTGAATCTACAGAAATATCAAGTATGTTCTCTGTTGTTGCTTTGCAATACATAGCCTGTTAGTCATTGCTTGTATTGTATAAAAATGTAGTGGGATTTTTTATTCCTGTTATTAGCTATTAGCCTGCACTACTGAAATAAGAAACATAAAAGATGTCTAAAGAAATAATCATTATTTGTTATCAAATGTTTACAAATATTTGATACTTTGCTTATATCAAAAGAGAGCCAAACATAATGCAAATTATCGTCATGTATATATTGTATATAATGTTACCATCCAACATCACCATCCCCCAAAAGTCTTCTTCTTTCTCTGTCTACTTTAAGGCACTAGTCTGTCTGTGTTGCACTTATTGTGGCTATCCCGTGTTTGATTCCTTCTGTTCCTGCCCTTCAAGATCACACAGCTGTTATATCACAAAGAGCTTCTTTTATACACTAATCAGTTGCTTTATTTTTGAGTAATGGAGAGTAGTTAGAAAAGGGAAGTATGTTTTTTGGCTATTTTTTTTTTTTTTTTAGATTAAGTAAGAGCATTGAGGCAGTTGTGTGGGGCTGTGTGGAGCTGAAACGATCATTTACGTAATTGAAAATATTCTAGGTTTGGAAAAGTATGTCCTTTTCATTGGTACAATGTCCTCTGAACAATGGTAGACACTTCTAAATAAGGCCCCTTTGCATTACAGATCCTGGGCAGTAGACTGGGGACATAGCAATCTCTAGCAGATTTTGCTTGCCTTTACTGCTAGTGCAAATCATGAAACATTATGAATGAATGACTTTTAAGCATAGACATCAGTTCTAAATGAGGTCCTCTTGCGTTGCAGATCACGAGCGGTAGACTGGGAACTGTGGTACTGGTTAGCAGGGCCACGGCACACCCTCCCTCTGATGTCCCTTCCTCATGAACATTGATGTCCCTGTCTATAACACTGACGTTCCTTTCTAGAGTCCGTTGATCCTTATCCTTATCCAGAGAAAGCCCATTTTAGAAGTATATTTTATATTACCTTTCCTTTGTGTCCCTCTTCAAAAGTTCTTTTATTCCACTCTGAATTTTCTTGCATGGAAAGATATTCCTCCTTTAGAACTGATATTTTTTTCCTTTCTAGAATTAGTATCTTATTCCCTTGTTGAAGCTTGATTTTGATATGCTTGGCAGTTTGCTGACCATTTGTTCTTTCCATTCATATGTATGGTGTGATATTTGTATCAGAAATATTATTTAGAAAGATTGATATATAAATTTGGTTTATAGGACAGCAAACTGCACATGGTTTACCAATTATTCAAGTATTTCCTTGTAGTAACAAAGACGAGTAAAATCTGTCTGCTTGTTATTCAGTTCTGTTTTGATAGTTTCATTGTGGCCATCTGAAGAAAGAAATATCTTGCATGTTTACTGACACTTTCATTAAAAATTAAAAAAAAAATATGAGAAATTTTAAGTTGATAAGATTGATGGTGATAAAGCCTTAGACTGTGCATGTGTTGGATATTTTTTTCTTCTGCTTAAGACAGATTATTATGGCCAAATGAACTCTCATTGCTTGTTGAATATGATTCTTTATATATATATATATATATATATATATATATATATATATATATATATATATATATATATATATATATAAATAATTATATATCATTATATATAAGTTGATAAATATAATTATATATATAATTATATATAATTATCCTTAAATAATCTTTTCTCCCAGCTTATATTCCTTGCCCCCACCATAGCATGAAGATAAATCTGTGGATACTGATTTCTAGACACGAAATCTCGGACTTCATATTTCTTTCCCTTTGCTGACATAATGTAGATGTGGGACATGCTATGTTCAGCTTATGACCCTTTTTGCTAAATATTTTTCTCCTTTTTGTTTTTAAGATATGATTGAAAACAACAACTGAAAGCTCAAAGCATGTTTGACATCAGCTTCAAGACTGAAACACTGAAGTACGTGCCATGCTAACAAGAAAGGAAATTTATACTGTATTTATGTCCATCATAAACACACATATATATATCTGAGCTAAAGTGCTGTTCAAGATTCCAATGAAGTATTCTTTCACATAAAAGATGGTGCAACCACGATGGATTCCCTCTGTTGCCTTTTTTTTTCAAACGCCTTTCAAGGAGTCGGATTCATGTACATCCCCTTACAAATGGCCAACTAAAATGTCATCTTTTTGCAAGGACTAAATGCCTCATGAGTCTTGCAACCTTTGTTGGAATTTTTAACAATATAAGTCTCAATTTGTCATGTTCCTGATTCCATCCACAATTGTAAAGAAAGAATACTTAGCTTTATTTTTGTTTTGTAATGAAAACTGCCAGTAGGTCCTTGTTGAGGAAATCATGTTTATTTTTCTTATTTTATTCAGAATTCAAAACAGCATATCATCTCTCTTAGATTTGCCACTACCTTTCAATGTTGCATTATTTTTAGTAAATAGTTTCCAAAATGTTTTGTGTGTCAAGGTAGATATGTTTGATAATAATTCATTCTAAGTATGCCATTTTCAATTTTCTGTGAATTGTTCATTTTCCTCTTGCCTTGTCTGAAGTTATTCCTCACCTTAGCTTCATAGTCTTCCAATTGGTTTGGTGGGATCATTCATCGCATTTAGATAATTTTAATTTCATAGTGTTAAGTAATTCTTCAGAGTCCTCTATTGTAAGATTTTTATAATCAGTGAAAATTGTACTAACTAATGTTAAGTGTTTTTACTGTGGTTCTCAATAAAATATTTGGCTGGTA